CAGCCCTGCAGCTTTTAATCTGTCCCTGCCTAAAGCCTGCTTTTACACATGCTTGCTCTTCAGCTTTTGTACCATCAGCAGATATAGATAATGCTGAATCTAAGTTGTTCTTTGCATCTAATTAATACAATTAGTAGGTGGTAGAGACCCAAACACTGACCCCAGTGGGATCCCTCTCAAAATAACTCCATAATTGGAGGTCACACCATTAATGATCACCCTCTGCTAAAGGTCTGTTACCATTCTTAACAAAGGAGTTTCTTCCCTAATTAGGATGCAGATACTCCACTCAAATACAGGTATGCTAATGACTGGGGAATCAGGACACTAGAATCCTACTTGTGTGCTCGACTCTGCAGCCTAACATTTTTCAGAAGGGAGTGATGTATCTAGAACAAGATTCAGGATTGCTTCTTCATTTAAAATCGACCCTACTGACATATTTGTTCCGTTGCCAGTTTGGCTATGTGCCTTGCCACCGCTCGATCAGAGCCACATATGAGGCTGCTCTTCACTGCATACAGGATGCAAAGGAGGGTGTTCAATGGGAAGGTAAGACAGTTGTGTATATTAAAAAGAAAAATTACATTTTTACTAAATATAGTTGCAAGACTTTTGACTTCAGCCATTAGGTGGGTCTCACAGATACTTAAATATCTTCATGAATTACTAGACTTTCCTGAGCTTAGTTGGTGCTTACCTTGAAAGTACTCCATGGCCCAGGACCCAATTCTTGAAAGAACACTTGCCTCCACATCAGAGAATTGTCTTCTGAATGCTTTTGCCATCAGAGGTCCATTGATGGCAACAGAAGAGAGATGCCCTGTTTATGGCATAGCAATATACCAACTGGGACTGATAAATTAGTGGAGAGAAATAATATCCCAAAGTGTGATAACGTTGCTTTATCTATACACATGACAAACGGACAGTTATTAAGCTATAAAATAAAATCAGTTGTAAATTATCATTCAGTAGCGGAAATATCTAAATGCATTTTGGTCTTCAGTCTTCTTCAGTTTTTTGGTATATAAAAAGGCATATGAAAAGATATAAAAAAGATGTACATACAAATATTTCAATACAAACTTCTCATATCTGTTGATAATATAGTACATTGCAGTGTCTTCACCTGCAAATTTATCTTAAGAAACTCTGCTTCTTAAATATGATAAAACAAATAGATACATGCAAAAAATAAACACCCACCCACCCTTACCAATTATGAAGTTCTTTCCCATAGAAATTTCCCTGCCGCCACCTTTGTTGTGCTTTTTACAGATTTTTAATTGTTCAAAGATGAGATGGATTGACTCCATAAAGAAAGCCATTCATAGGGTTGCCATAAATTAGAGATGACTTGATGGCACATAACAAGAACAAATATTTAACTTTGATTACTTTACTACCGCTAGTGTGCATTCAATGTTTCATATTTTTCATTTTGTTACCCATTCATTGTTTTGATTTTTAAAATACTGTTTAAGGTGTCCCACATTTCTTTATATTTAAGGGTAGCACAGAACATGTTGAAATAATATTTTTTAAAAATCTAGAAAGAGATATTGTAACATGCTACAAGATTCCCATCCTACAACGTGCAAGGATTTGGAAAACCGTCCAAACTGCATTCTGCTCAACCAGTCCCTGGCCTCATTCTCAGGGCTGCCTTTTGTATTACCTCTTCAACACTGACCAGCATTTCCGTGCTTTGCAGGAAATAACCTACTCGTGCAGCCACATATTTCAGGGAGGCCCAATTTGCAAAACCGTATGAACATCCTTGTCACGCTGAACCGTTCTCTTTTAGCTCACCTGATGTTTCAGTGACAAACATGGACACTTAAAAATGAAAAGCTAGTCACCACAGAAATGAGATGTTTGAGGAGAGCTGCCAGAGTGACCATAAGGGATAAAATCAGGAATGAGATTATGAGGGAAAGAATTGGAATAGACCCAATCCTTAACAACGTACAAGGACAGCAAATAAAGTGCTTTGCTTACCTGGGGAGAATGTCTTGGGAGTCCATACCGTTCAAGGCATACACAGAAAGAGAAGAAGGCCAAAGATCTTGAGGCAGACCCAGAAGATGGAGAGGCAAGATCAAAGACACACTACAACGGCATCACATGACAGTGGTTGATGCCGCCAGAAGTGCAAGAGCATCTCCCTCAACACTGGAAGCAGTAAAAGAGGAAATAAAGAAGATTCAGCTCCATGCATATTCATACAGAAGAGTAGAGTCTATTTTCTGCCTCAAAAGGCAGAAGTTTACACCATAGGAGTAATAACCTTCTGGTTAACTCAAAGCCAGTTTGTCCAACAGATTACCAAAATTGTTCTGTTTAAAAACACAAGAAGCTTTTAAGAAAACTTCCCCTACTTTGGCTAAAAAAATTAATATGCCATCAAGTAGAAACTAGTGGTTGGATAATTTGATAGAATGTGATTCTATGCCTCAAACCACATGCTGAAATTTCTCAGGGGCTTAAAGATGTGGCAGTGCAAACTGATATGAAAAAGGCTGCAGTTTCCATCCTACATTTTTAAAATATGTAAGTTACCATTTTGGGCTGAAGTATACCTGGCAGTATAGTATAGTATAGTATATAACATGCAAGTATACTTGGCAAATATATATTAATCACTCAGAGAGGACTAGAACTGCATGCTTAAGATCACAACTTAGACACACTTAACTGAAGAGCATCCTCTTAGACTCAGTGGTCCTTACTGCAGTTTAAGCCTGAAACCAGCAACTGATGATCAGACAGACAGACAGACAGACTTTATCCAGATAGAACAGAAACAATATAGATCACTGTTGAGATTATGTTCCATATATGTCAATACTGGCAAGAAAAGGTGACTATTCTGATTGTTTTGAAATACCAGATGGTTAAAGAAAATATGAATACTGACAAGCATTTTTGTCAAATTGTACTCATTTTGCCACAGAAAATAAGAACAAAATGTCTGTGTTTGAAATGAGCTAGCTTGTATTTTTTAATAGTGGAACTATGTGTAGATTGTTTTGTTTATGCAAAATTCCTGCAAATAAGACCTAGTCTAGTTCATGGGTGAATATTAAAATACAGGAGGGGAACTGTGAAAATTCAGTATATTTCAGTACCATTAGCCTTTGGGGTGAAGGAGAATCTGCTTTTGTGGAGGGGGCAGGAGGAATAAGGCTCCAAGGATACCCCTAAAAGCTGCCTTGAATGCTGTTTTTGCTAGATATTAAGTAGACTAATAGCTTTATCCCTACTGCTTCATTGTAGGAAGAGAAGTTTGCTCTATATTGCACGGCTAAAAATAAGATTAAAATGCATGTACAAAAAGTTGTTTCCCATTAACACCAACAGACTTTTAAGTCAACCCATTTGGAATCCAAGCACACATGCTCTGCAATTACTGCAAAGCATTCTGCTTCCTCAGAGGTTAGCTGGCTTGTGCTCTTACCAGGGAATGTTAGTGCAATTATGAGTACCAAGAGGTAATTTTAGGAGGCTGTAAGTTGTCCATATTTCTTCATGTACTGCCAGAAAATGAACAGTGGTGCCATCTGCAGTTACATTTTACTGAACTGAAAATTCATTTCATTGCTTGTTTACTGTGCAGTTGCTTAGAAACATTATTCTGCCTTCTGGAATGCATGAGATGATATCAAGACTAATCATCAAATGAAATGCCAGGTATTAGCAGTGAACCCAAGCAACTAGTTCTTTCCTCATCTTTAATGATTTATAATAAATGCCAGGTCAGTAAATTGGAATACAGCAGCCGCCCAGGATTTGATTGTGGATTAGCATGCCAATCTGCCCTGACCATGCAGACCTGGTTGGGTGAAACTGAACTTTCCCCACCTGGGCTCTCCATTTCGCAGCAGGCAAGAGCTGAGGGCCAGGTCAGCAATTCACCGTGGTCTATCATGATCCTTTCCCCTTGTCTAGGTGCCCCATCCCATGATCTTCCAGTTCTGAGTGTGTATAGCTAAAGAAGAACATTCAGGACTGGATACATATTCTCTTGGTGTACTGCCAGCCCTGGTACTCATCTCTTTCTTTCTGATCTAGCTGAGGTGGTGTCATGCTTGGTGTTGGGAGTTTCTATGGCTGCTTGTGCTGAGGATTCAACAGACATGCTGCAGTCTCCTTGTTGAGAATGACTCTGGTGGGGCAGAAAGCCAATTAAGATCTCATACACACCACATACTGATCAATCAGGATAATTTTCTGATGACTCATGGGGATTTTTCTTTCCTCTGAGCATACGTTTCTGTCACAGACTCATAGAACAGTACAGTTGGAAGGGGTCAAGAAGGCCATTGGGTCCAATTCACTGCTCCAATTTACACCAGTCCATTCAGAAGATGTGAGCCGATTATGAACGAGAAGACTTGTTCTTCCTCTTTGTGACAGCCTTTCAGGTACTTATAGACTAATATTATGCCCCCCTCCCCCCAGTCTTCTGTTCTCAGGGGTGAAGATGCACAGTTCTCTCAGTCTCTCCTCACAGGGCAATGTTTTCAAACCTTAGATCATTTTTGTTGCCCTCCTTTGGATCCTTTCCGGATTTTCTGCATCTTTCTTCAATCGTAGTGTCCAGAACAGAACACAGTATTCTAGACGAGGTCTGACAAATGAAGAGGACTTTAACCGACATGCTGCAGTCTCTTCATTCAGTTACATAGGGTCTTCTTGTGCATCTAAATAGCCCACTATGAACATGCATGCACGGGAATGGGCAGCTTTGCTAGACTTTATCAGCAGTTTAAAGATTAAAAAAGGCAGTATTATCAGTGAAAATAATACCAGGAAAAAACTTAATTAAAACATTAAGACTCACAGGATACATCAGACTGTAATTTCCTCAAACAAGAGCACTTCCTACCTTTTTCTCAAGTATCCTCTGAAGTAATATACTTGGGCACTGCTGACCATTTTCTGTTAGTCACCAGAGAAAGAATAAGCCTTTATACTCAATGTAGCTCAAAAGGTCTTCTTTAAAAGTACTTTTTATTTACATGTTTATAAATCAGGAAGAAATTTACAGTGCAGAAATCATTACAGTGTATTAGTAATGGTTCGGTTACGAAGCTGCTGAACATACTCCTTTGCTTGATCAAACCCAGTCTTGGGTGGCTCTGGAGGTGGAGGTGGGCCTTCTACTAATTTCACAAAGTAATGACACTTGACTTTGTCCATAATGCCAAAAAAGCCTTTGCCATGGTAGCGGATCCTTTTCAGATATGGACCTTTTCCAGAGAAGGATTCAGCTGGAAGATAGAAAATGAAATTAAAATGAGACAACTGGCTGGAACATCAATCTAAAGACACCTTTAGCAGAGCTGGCAGCTTATGAAATGCACTAACAGAATTGCATTATTTTAATGCTTCTCACCAAAAATTACAAAATGGCACAAGACTGGAGATAGTTAGCCAAACAACCTGTGGGGTGTGGCTTTCAAAAAGTGGCAAAGTTATGATATGACAGCAGTAGAGGTTTTAATGAATGCATCTAAATCACGCAGTGGCTGAAATCCTCCAACTTGAACAAACGGATCAGGCTGTAGTCCTGCTTATGAAACCAGCGTAGCTTTGTGTTGCATGTTGGAGCGCAGGAAGCTAACTTATGCCAAGTAGGATCATTGGTTCATCTAGTTCAGTATTATCCATACAGACTGGCAGTGGTTCCTCAGGGGTTCAGGCAACAGACTTTCCCAGACCTACATTGAGATGTCAGCAAAAGAAACTGGAACCTTCTACATGTTTTATAATTGAACTGCAATCCATCCCATCTGTGCCTCACTTTAGGGTAACATCCAGTACTCTGTTCCTGTCCAGTCCTCCCATATAGTTCTAAATCAGGGCCTTTAAGGAGCATGCTGCTTGGATCCCCTACAGCAGCCTTCCCCAATGTGGTGCCCTCCAGATGTTTTAGAACTCCTAACACTCCTGACCACTGGCTATGCTTGGCGCTGAGAGAAGTTGAAGGCCACAAATTTGAAGGGACCAGGTTAGAGAACGCTGCCCTAATGGAAAGGAATTTCCATTCAGAAGGATGCACTTGTCAAGACAATGCAGGTGCAGCACAGAGGAAACTGGGTGGAGGAAAGGAAGTGGCACAAATTCAACAGACCCTGCTTTATGCATGGCTTTGCTTACACAAGTCACACTGTCATGACCAAGATGCGTGGAAACCTCTACATAACAATTACCCAAGGATTGTTACTGTCCCTTAGAAACATGCATATATAATCTTAAATCCTATTGCACACAATAAAAAGTCAAATTTAATAATAGCATGTGTGTGTACAAAAATAAATGTGTAGCAATGTGACCACCACTGTACAATGAAATCATGCTCATTAACCAAATGTCTCTGTTTCTAAAATCCCTGAACTGAGACTGGAACATACTGTTATGACCCTAGTTTGGCTGCCACTAAAGGCAGTGGTTCTGTATTTCCTTTTCTCCATTTCCACAGTAACATCTAGGAATACATAATGTGTGACATGATGCCATTGTGTTGTGCGTTCTCATGCTCCATCCTGTTTCACTGGCCACTGTACCTCGTGGGCTACAGAAACACCCACAAGATGGGGATACCACCAGTTCTGTTTTACCAAGTGTTGTGTGAGAGGGCAGGACAAACAGCAACAGGGAAAGCTGCTGCTTCACTGGCAGCCACAGACATGCCCTAATAGATTCCAGGAGGCCATCTAGTTGCAGAAATTCTTACAATGAATGCTGGACTAGGTAGCCCTTCATCTGATCCAGCAAGGCTGGCCTTATAATCTTATAAGTCAGCTTACTCAGGACCACTTAGCACAAATTAATTAGGCTTTAATTGTTAAGAAGAAACTGTGCATATACCCTTGAAAGCAATTTCAAACAAGTTAAATAGCTAGGGATGTAGCAGCCAAATGAAAACTCAAATCAACATCTTAACATCTTTTTCCAGCCTTAATGATAAAAAAATGCTGACCAATTTTAGTGTCACTGGGCCAAAGTCATAGACTTTTGTATGCTACTAACTGTGCCTGTGCTTATTAAGGCTTACAAGGACAGCAGGATCAGGTTCTGGGGCACACCTCTCTCTGACACCTCCAAGGAAGGCTCGGATGGTGGCAATAAGAAGGGCCTTTTAAGTCATGGCCCCCCAGTTATGGAATGAGCTCCCCATTGAGACACCAACTTTACTATCTTTTCAGCAACAGGTAAAGACTGTCCTCTACTGTAAGGCATTCAAGTAGACTACTGGGCTTGCTAGCTGTTACAAAGGTCTTAAGATTTTTCTTCATATTGTAAACTTGCTATGATGTTTTAATTTGATGTATCTTTGATCGTTATTTTTAATGTGCTGTTATGAACAGTCCAGAGAACTTTGGCTGTTGGGAGGTATAGAAATTAAATAAATACATGAAAGAAATACAGTGAAGCAATATGTAACTACCGGAATCTAAGGATCAAGTTTACAGAAATTGTTTTAGCTATTATTTATGAATAATTTTGACTGCTGCCACATTCTTTCTGCTCCTGTTCTAGTGTTAGAATGTTAAGGGGGAGGGGTTTAAATTGCTACATTAACTTTCTTGGTAGCTGCCTTGAGTTCTGCAGAAGGAAGGCGGAATAGCAATATTTCTTGCACAGCAACAGAACAAACCCCAGAACCTTCCTAAAATGGTTGAAAACAAGACCGAGGTCAACTGGCAGCAAAAGACTGAAAATTACTACCCTTGTCCACTGGAATGTACTCCAGCTACATGTCCTTCTAATACAATAATGATGTAAGACCCCATCCCATCTCACCCTGCCCTCTTTAAAGCCTTTTCATGGAAAACGTAATTCACCAAACTGGTCAATCACTTTCCCCTAGAATGTCCACTTGAGGTGCTATGAATCATTATGAAATGACATTTTATTTCCTCCTTTGGTAGAAGCTATTTCTATAATGCTTTTTGTCATAGGTTTACAAGAGAAATGAGCTTCCTATGGTGGCAGCAATATAGTGGCAAGTTAAAAGGATCAATTTGATAAGGGGAAGTCAGAAGGCTGTATCTAAATGCCAGATCTAAATGCACTTAATTTAGAACATTTTTTACCTCAATTAAATGGTTGACAGGTGACAAGTTGCTAGTAGTAAAGTATAAGCTGCTGGCTAACCTTCCATAAAAATGAGATTATTATTTTTAAGATTTATACCAAATAATTTTTCACATATACAAGTGCTGGAGTAAGTAATGCCAAAGAAACTTAACTGGAAGGGATAAAGTTACAGTTCTTCACCATGCAGCTTCAATTACATTTTATAATATATCCTATTCCTTATTCATCTATCATTAAATTAAGGTCTACATTGGACAGGTGCTATAGAAGTTGCAGCCATCTCTAAGAGTACAAGGAAAGTAAAAATCAGGTGACTAATTTATAAGAGATGTCATGATGTAATCCAAAAGTTGCAAGAATAAAATGTTTGCTCCAATAAATCTGGAGTATACACAGCATATGGTTAATATGCTTATCTCCCTTTGAAGTAGGATGTGTTCAATAGTACTTGTGAGGTCTTCTTTATGCAGCACCAGAATGTATTACAGTTGATGTGTGAGATTTGCATGGAATACTTTGCCAGTCTAAACACAAAGTAAATCCACACAATGAAACTAACAACTTGATATTAGAAATCTCAATTATTTATTAAATTTATATGCCACCTTTCCCCCATATTAAAATACAAATTAAAAACAAATCTTAAACACAAAAATTAATTTAAAATGGAAGAATTAAAGAAAGAGAACCCAGTAAGAACAGGTTGCTTACCTGTAACTGATGTTCTTCCAGTGGCCATCCGTGCAGTCACACATATGGGCTCTGCGCCTGCGCAGTGCCTTTGGCCAGAAGATTAACAGCTAATGGTTTTTGGCGGGAACTCCCCTCCCCCTCCCCCTCCCCCCTAGCATTATATAAGGAGCGGAGTGTCCGCCATTTTTCAGTCTTTGAAAGACCAACGTTTGTTGTATAATAAAAAAGGTTTGTCAGAATGACAAGAAATCCAAATTCAGTAGTGGTACGACACATAGGAAAAAGATATCATAGTATCGCAGAAAATAGTCGGACCACCCATGACACCAAGCGGGGTTGGAGGGTGGGTTGTGTGACTGCACAGATGGCCACTCGAAGAACATCAGTTACAGGTAAGCAACCTGTTCTTCTTCGTCGTGGCCTCTGTGCATCACACATATTGGTAGAATAGCAAGCTTACCCGAAATGGAGGAGGGAGGTGTCATCAACGAAGGATAGAAGAAAGAACAGCTCTGCCAAAAGAGCAATCCTGTCTGGCACGGACATCGAGTCTATAATGTCTAGCGAAGGTACACAGAGTAGCCCAAATAGCCTCTCTGTACACGTCTTCTATCGGGACTCCTGATGCAAAGGCCGAAGAAGCAGAGACAGCTCTTGTAGAATGGCCTCTTGGAGTAGATGGTAAGTCCAACTTAGCCAACTGATAAGATAGGACAATTGTATTTACTATCCATTTTGAAAGACGTTGTGAGGTGACTGGGCAACCCCGATCATGTTCCGAATATTTCACGAAAAGTCTATTGGAACGCCGAACAGACTCAGTCCTGGACCTATAAAAAGCTAAGCAATGACGAACGTCCAGCATATGTAGAGATCGTTCTATCGGATTCGAAGGGGTCGGAAAGAATGCCGGTAAAACAATCTCCTGTTGCATGTGAAACGAAGTAGCGACCTTCAGAAGGAAAGACAGATCCATTCGAAGAACCACCTTTTCCTTATGAAAATTTAGGAAAGGGGGGTCTACCCGAATGGCGCAGAGTTCAGATGATCTACGGGCTGAAGTTACTGCAACAAGGAAGGCCGTCTTCCATGAAGCAAGGCGTAGATCAATCGTCGCCATGGGTTCGAAAGGTGGTCAAGTCAGTGCTTGTAAAACCACCGAAAGACTCCAGGTGGGCATTAGAGGTCTTATAGTTGGATGTAGATTACTCAATCCTCTTAAAAATCTTTTAATCAGAGGTTGAGCAAAGATGGAGAGACCATGTATAGTTCCTCGATAATGCGAAATCGCTGCTGTATAAACCTTTATGGACGAGGGTTTGAGTCCAGACTGATGCAATTCAAAGAGAAACTGAAGTATCTGTGAAACAGAAGCTGAAGGGGCCAGAAAAAAGTGTAAATTGGCAAAGTTAGAGAATCCCTGCCATTTTGCCGTGTACGACTTCCTAGTAGATGGTCGTAGCGCAGATTCAAG